TATTTGGTGGACTTCGACTTTTTTTTTTTGTTTAATTTTTATTTAATATTTTCTTTTTGCCTGTTGTATTTAATGTTATTTGTATTATTAATTATTTTTTATTATATACATATATATAAAAAGACAAAAATAAATCAAGAAAAATTTGAAATACTGAATCCCAACCACTCATTTAAATTAAATTAAATTAAATTAAATCAAAAATACTGTAAGCAGCTTATGAAATACCCTGTAGATTTTTATTTGGAGTAGACACATTTTTTAATTTGAGTCACAAAAACCCAGAGGTCATGACCCCAGTGAACACATATCAGTGTATTGATTATGATAAATTGATAAGTCATGTGGGGCTGTTACCTGTTTGTCAGACAGGTTGAGCCTCTTGCAGAGCTCCGCCTTGTCCTGTGTTCCCAGGTAAGCGTTCCTCTTGAAGGCCTTCTCCAGGCTGCTGATCTGTTCCGCCGTGAAGGCCGTGCGAGGCCTCCTCCCTGATGGAGGGGACGCAGGGGAGGTGGAGGTGCAGTCAGCAGGGGCTGAAGGGGAGAAGGAGTGACCTCCTTCACTCTCGTAACCGGACGTCTCCTCCTCTGTCCCGCTGCTGAAACCTGCCTCAGTCACTGCAGAGAGGAACAAAGAGGACGTCTTGTTAGACTGATGGAAACATTCACAAAACGTTTCATAAACTCTGAGTGTGTTTCCATTGTCGTTAATTTGTTAAGTAACTAAAGCTGCTGTGAAAGTAGAAACTGGCAGGTGAATAAGACACTTGACTTTAATTTCACAGACAAGAAACAATCAATTGTGAAGACAATAAAGCCTTCACTAAAATAGAGCAGAGGAAATCTCTGCTAGTTGCTAGGCTAATTTAAACAATGTAAAATGCCATAGGCTTGTGCTAATAACGTTAGCATGTTGTATTTGTGGGGAAAATGTGTCCAGATAAAGACAAGTGCTTTGTCTGTCAATGCTGAGAGTGATAGTGAAGCCGACTTGTGTGCTTGTGTTTGAAATTGTCTCTATTAAGCCATGTTTAATGTGTGTTTAATGTGTGTTTAACGTGTGTTTAATATGTGTTTTGAATCAAGTAAACTTTACAGCACTTCACAGTAACCTCCGCTGCTGACTGGTGTTTCAGAGCTGTAACTGCAGAGTGACACAGACACACCACCACCAAGCATTATGTAAAGCGTAGCCTCAGCATAAAGCTGGCACCAAGTAAAAATCCTCCCTCACTGTGAGGGCACTTTAGCAGCAGTTTCTACCTTTATGTAGTGTTTTTGTGACATCACAACTCCACACAAGTCTTTACGGCTCATTCAAACACAGTTTCTCAATGGACTGTGTGTGTTTCTCTTTGGACTGAGTTTTTTGTTTTTTTTTTTGCGTTATTTCTGCAGCACCTGAACCTGATTTATTATGATTAAGACATTTTATAAAATGTGCCTCTTCACATACGTGATCTTTTATCTGCTTAAAGAGATTCAAAGTGTATTTTCAAAGCTGATGAAACAGATTATGTGTGAGATTTTAATTTGTACAGTAACTGTAACTTTCAGATAAATGTAGAAGAGTGCAGTAATTTTCCCTGTGATGTAGTGAAGCAGAAAGATAGTGGCATAAATTAGGAATACTCCAGTAAAGTAAAGGTACTGTGAGTAATTCTGGACTCACCTTGGTTACTGTGAGAGGTCTGGTGCTGCAGGGAGCTCAGGCTGAACCCATCCAGGCCCTGGCTCCTGGCTTCTTGCTGCTCTGGTACATTCTCAGACTTCTGTCTGCAGTAAAAACCCGGCAGACTCTCTGAATGAGTCCCACAGGCAGCAGGTCCAGGTCCAGAGACCGAGACCGTCTCTGTCCCTGCAGGCTGCTGGCTGCTCTGAGCCATCCACTCGATAGAGAAGTGTCCTCTCATGGCTGTGAAGTGTGAGAGTAAATCCTTTGGTTTCAAAGTGGAGATTTATAAGTTGTGTCCAAAGAGCAGGAGCTGGTGTGCTGGTCTGTCCTGGTCCTGGTGCTTGGAGGGTTTGAACTGCCCCCTCATCACAGCCAGTGAGTATTTATAGGGAGCATCAAACTCCCTGAGACCTGAGATCAAAGCAGACGTCCTCCCGTCCGTCCCACCCTCCCTCCTTTAGTTTTCACAACTGGAGTAATTAGGACGTCTCATTCAGTCTCATTCAGAGGCTGTTACAGTGAGGCTCCAGTGAGTCTGGAAGGACCCCCCCCCCCCCCTCCCCACCTCCTCCTCCTCCTCCTTCCTGCCTCCAAAACAAGATAATAGACACACCTCAGCCCAAACTGTCTGTATCTCCTCCTCAACCACGTCCTCACTGTAAAATAAATACAGGCCTGCTCTTCACAGTTTCAGCTGGATTCATGTCGTCTGCTCCGACCGTCCACATCCAGGTTCAGGGAAAAGATCACGAGACACGACAGAGTCCACCGTCCCCTCTGAATTTACAGGTAACATAAAGACAGAATGAAGGTTTTTCATTTACAGATAATTCCAACATGTAAAAAAAAATAAATAAATAATTTGTTGATTTAGAAAATAAACAAAAATAAAACAAGAAAAAAAAATTCAATTAAAATTTAAATACAAACAATAAAATCTAGAATAGAAAAAAATGGCAAAATACAAACAATTACATTAAATTAAAAAATATGAAGCCCCCCCCAATTTTTTTAACAAATAAATAGAAAACCCCCCATAAAAAATAAGTTACTATAAAAGAAATTTAAAAAAAAAAAGAAAAAAAAAAAAAAATAACAAAAAAAAAAAAAAAAAAAAAAAAAAAAAAAAAAAAAAAACACATTAAAAAGTTAAAGACATACAATAAATTATATAACAGAAAAAAATGACTTAATACAAAAAATAATGTAAAATAAATAAAATTAAATGAGTAAATACAAATATGAACAATTGAGTCCAAGTCCCCCAAATACAAAAATAAATAAAAATAAGTTACTATTTAAATAAATAAATACAAATATTGCTAATTCACAAGTAACTAAAAATAAAATACTAAAGACAAAAAACATAAAATAAATAAATGAATAAAAATATGAATGTAATAAAAATTTTATACAATAAATTGTATAATACAAAAATAAATTTAGTACAATAAACACAAAGTAAATATTTATATAAAAATAAATATATTCTCTGTCCAAGTCTGTCAAATTAAAAAAATAGCAAATAAATAGAAAATTATATTAATAAGTCCATATTTAAATAAAATCAAACAAATAAATAAATAAAAATGATCAAATCCTGAATAAGTCAGTGAAAGATGATGCACGAAAAGAGGAGAGAAGTCTCTGTAGTGAAGATGGCATAAAGAGTTTAAAGGCTCGTTGTTGACACAGGAGATATGTTTATAAAACATAACAGAAATATCTACTTTATAAAAGCATGCGGTTTCTATGAAGGACTGAGTTGCACCTGATAACTTGTCTTTTCTGGTCATTAATCAAAGCTCAGATCATTAACCTCCATTAGCTCAGTCTGAAAAGCAGCCGTCAGGTGAATCAGCAACAAAACGAGCAGTGAGTGGTTTCATAAAACTGATCCGGGATCATCCCAGATTAAAGACAATCACTCACCATCGTCTGAGCTTGTTATCTTGAGTTTAACTGATCAGGATTAAAAGAAAATGATCCGACAGAGATCAATGATCTCAACAAATGAGAGACTTTCTAGAGTCGTGTTACAGGATGAACAAGAAACAGATTCAGATCTTTTGCTTAAGTAAAAGTACCAACAGCAGTGTAAAGATACTCCATTACAAGTTAAAGTATCCAAGTACTATCTGAAATAAAGGTACTTAATGTGGAGAAATCCTCATGTAGCATTTTACTGTTGTTGAAAGAAGTTAAAAGAAGTTAAAATAGAATTAAAAAGAATAAAATAAAATAAATAAAATAAGATAAAATAAAATTTAAAAAACAAGTTACAATAAAATAAAATAAAATAAAATAAAAAGCAGCAGTTTACTATTGATGGCAAAAAATACAATAATAAAAAAATAAAACACAGGCATCAAAAATATATATATATTTTAAATTTATTTTAATATTTTTGCTTTCTGAAGTGCATTTAAATATTTTTTTTTATTTTTCTGTATGTCATTCTTTTTTTTAAGGTCTGATTATTTCCACACCAAAACAGTAACAGATAGTTAAAAGTAAGAAAAATAAAAAATAAAAGAGTAAGATTGTCACTGAAAAACACATTACAATGCAAAAAAATAAATAAAAATTACAATAAAATACTTTTGAATACTTTTTGGATTCCTTTTTTCAATGCAACATTATTTTTTCAGTGTCATAAATACCGAACTCTACAAAGCTGACAGCTTCAGTCAGTCGTTACTTATAAGATTATTTTTTTAATATAAATAAAGATGGTGGAAAAAAGTGCAAAACTTCCCACTTCTACCAGCTGTACTCAGGTACAGTACTCGAGTAAATCCACTGCAAACAAAATATATTTTAATCTGTCAGCAGCTGCTGACGACTCACAGGAATATTGTTTGTTATAAAAATGTCACATGATCACACGAAGTATCACAGAGCTGTATGACCCAGTGGTGGAGGAAGTATTCGGATACTTTACCAATGTAAAAGTACCTGTAAGTACTTCCTGTATGACGTAATAATCCACTCTGAGGCGCCTTCAGTCATCTCAAACTGAGGATTAAGGGATCAAGTTAAAGTGACTGATAACGAGCTGAGGATGATGATGATGATCCGACCTGTGAAGAGGCTCATAACCATCATCATCATCATCATCAGGCAGCGGCCTGGATGGACCTGAGACAGGAGGAGGAAGGATGAAGGACGGAGGATGGGGAGGGAGGCGGTGTTTGTGTGTAAATGACGCGGGTCAGACACATCGTGGGTTTAAAGGGTTAATCTGGTCAATAAGACACGGCTCCATTGATGAGGTAATGAGAGCGCGCGAGCCGCTGAATGGATGAGGAGGAGGAGAGGAGAGGAAGAGGACAGAAGGGGGAGGAGACAGAGCAGTGACAGAAACTTTTGACATCAAAAATGAAATTTGACATTCAAAATGGAAAAATCGACACTGAATTAAAAAAAAAACACTGAAAAATAAAACATTGGCATTAAAAATATTTTAAAAAATGTATTCCATTTTTTTTAAATGTGATGTGATGTGAATTAAAATATATTTTGATTATTTTTGTGTCATTCTCTTTTAAGGGTCAGAAAAACTAAGAAAAAAAAACACAATTTAAAAAAATAACCAGTAAAAACATTCATTAAAAAAACACCTGGCCAAAAAAAATACAATAAAATAAAATAAAAATAGCTAAAAACCAAAACAAAACAAAACAAAACAAAAACAGCTGGTAAAAAAAAATAAAAGTAAAAATTACATAGAAAAACAGCTGGTAAAGAAAAAACAGCTAGTAAAAAAATATATATATATAAAAAACAGCCATTAAAGTAACAGAAAACAAACAAACAAACAAACAAAACAGCTGGTAAAGAATAATTTAAAAAAAAAACAGCCAGTTTAAATAATAATAATAAAAGTAAAAAAAGATAAAATAAAATAAAAAGCCAGTAAAAAACATATGTAAAAAAAAAACAACCATTAAAAACAGAAAACAAACAAAAAAAAAAACGCTGGTAAAGAAAAAAAGAAAAAAGTCAGCCAGTAAATTTTTTAAATTTAAAAAAAAACAAACCTAAAAACAAACAGACAAACAAACAGTTATTGTAAAACACATCAGAACACAATAAATAAATAAATTAGAATATTTAATGACTGTATTTTATTTTTCAGCAGATTTCTATTTTAGAGCAAAATTCTATTTTCAGTGAACCAAATTGCCTAAAATGAGTCCACAGAGGAGGAGGAGGAGGAGGAGGAGGAGGAGGAGGAGGAGGAGGAGGAGGGGCGGTGGTGCTAACAGCTCATTAACAGATCCTGAGTCACTTCAAAGAGACTCTGAGCTTTGATAGCAACACGCCCAACATGAGACGCACGCCATAAAGCTCCTGAGGAAACACAGTGACATCATCATGTCACAGCTGATATCAACTCTGGTTCTACTGTAATCTACTGTGGTTTTACTCCGTCTCCTGTGGTTGTTCTAACTCAGCTTATTAACAGAATACAGTTCATTTACTGTTGATGAGTTATTTAAAGGACGAGCTGCAGATGTGTAAAGTCACTTCATACTTTCATTCTTGGTGTCACAGATTCAACAAGGTGCTGGAAACATTCCTCAGAGATGTTGGTCCATATTGACATGATGACATCACACAGTTGCTGCAGATTTGTCGGCTGCACATCCAGGATGAGAATGTCCCGTTCCAGCACATCCCAAAGGTGGTGGATCAAGGTCCTGATCATTTGTCGTCACTCCGACCCTCCAGCGCTGCCTCTCTGCCTCTCTGTCTGCCTCTCTGCTGTATAATGGGGGAGGATAGTCTCAGTGTCGGCCTGCTCCACCTCATCAGATCCCTCATCCTGCTCTGTGACGAGCAGCTCCGAGAAAGTTCATCAGCCTGCAGGTTTAAAAATTTAACTCTTAATCCACAAACTCAGTTTTCACCTGCGGCAGTAAGAAATTCTGTCGTACATTTAGCTGCTGTGACGTCCGTACAGAATTCACACCAGGATAGTCCGGGGCATTCGGTTCGATTGGGCTGGGAATGCCAAAAAATTTCACACCTTCATTTGGTTCGGTTCACTTTCACACTGCACTTTTTAAAGCGGACCAAACCGCCTGGACAACTTCACGCAGTTACAGCAGCTGCTCGTTTGGGGCGATACTGCCCGAAACAAAAGAAAAAAGCACGCGTACCCAAAATGCACTGCGCTCTACGTCACTTCCTCTCTTTGGTTCACTTCCTCTCTTTGGTTCGCTGGATGGTCCGTTTGCATTTCCCACTGTGAGCGAACCGCACCAGGGTTCACTTGCAAGTGAACCGAGACAGTTTTCAAGCGGACCAGGGTTCTCTCATTTGGTCCGCACCAGAGTTAGAGTGAGCGCTCACACATACCGAAGTATCCGTGGAAGTGGACCAGGGTTCGTTTAAAGTGGACCAAATAGTGCCAGTGTGAATGTGTCCTTCGTTCTAATGGAGCATATTTCATTTAGTATTTTTTACTTAGTTTCCTCAGTACGTAAAGCGTAAATCAGTGGTTCTGACTAAACTTCTCAGGTGTTTGTGACGACCCCTCAGATTTATCTGGTGACCTTTGAAGG